CGTGACTTGCCCGATCCAAGAGAAAATCTTATTTGGGTCAGGTCGAACCAGACTGAGCGGCTCATCTCGAGGTCTGCTTAGAATTACTTATAAATATTCTATTCATAAAGAAAAACGTATTTTGTATTAAATTAATCTTCAGAAGAAATTTCAATATTATTAATTATGTTTTTATTTGCACAATAATTTCAATCTTTTCGTGACAAATCATAAGGATTAATAAATAATCTACTGAAGGAATTAATTTATTTTTTATTATTAAAAGGAAACGAATAGAATCTATTTTAAAAGCAAATAAATAATTTCTGGAGTTCGTGTCTTTCTGAATTTGATGATAATTTTTATTTAATTATATTCTTGTGAGAAACTATTTTCTATATTCAAGTCACTATTCCGATAGTATTTATTTTATAAGATTTGTTAGGTCAAGATTAAGGACTCACTCGAAAATTGATCTTGAATCAAATAAATTCAAATGGCATGAAATTTTCAGGATATATTACGACTTTGGTAGGGAAACGATGCTAAAGTTTTCAGTCCTGTATTATGATGTTTTCGGTTGATATTTAACAAACAAGAGTCAAAATTTGTTTTCTGTGACCCCTAATTCTATAGTTGTTTGAAAGAGCATGCTAGACTGCAGTGTCTTTTTTTTTTTTGAATTTTAAATTCTTACTTTTTATAACGAGAAAAAGGATGACAAATTCAAATTTTTAATATTATAATAAAGAAGTTTAATTTAGAAAAATGGGTATAACGACTTCACAGCTCTTTCAAACAAAAACAAATAGGCAATTAGCTATAATGGAGTTCCTTCGAGAATGCCTGGATGCGTGAACAGAAAAAATGGAAAAGGTTTCCTGATTCTTTTTCTCGAGAAGAAAATATTTTCTAGACAGAAGCGAACGGAAATCATCGAAAAATTTGGCTAAGAATCGAAGTATCAAATCAAAACTTATATCATTTGTGCAAGATCAGACTTCGTACGCTATTTTCTCATGCATTTATCTCAACTTTGATATTGCTGACGCGAATTGATATTTTTCTTTTCTGAGCCAAGATGGCTTAATAACAACAAACGAAATAATTATTTGTTTGACTTTTTATTTTAGTTAATTATGCACGCGAAACAAAAATCGATTTTACCAAACCATTCCTTAGTTTGGGTATAGCATTACTTTTTAAAACACCCAAATCTGAAAAACCCGGTTTATTCAGTTTTCTTAGCCCATTATCACTTGAAATTTGGGTAAAATATGATTTTATTTAAATCTATTTTTACTGACCAAAAAGAGAAAATAATATCTTTATTTATTAGATATATACATTTGCTGCTATATTTACCGTTAGTTTTATCCTATTAATAATTGCTCGATGTTCACCAGATGAATGGCGTAATCCTTATCCGTGTGATGCTGAATATGATTATTTAGAAAATCGTTTTACTGTTAGTAATACACTTTGGTTTTCAATTGGAACATTAATGCAACAAGGTAGATTGTAAAAGAAAGAATATGCAAAATAAATTCTTTTGTTTTTTTTCTACTCAAAAGGTTCTGATATGAGTCCATCAGCTATATCAACTCGTCTTATTTCTGGTATTTGGTGGTTTTTTACATTAATTCTCATTTCATCATATACAGCTAATTTAGGTAAAATGAGAATTTTGATTTTTGTTTTATATAACGGATTGAACAGAGAAAAATGTCGCCTTTATGCAAAGTTTTTTTTTTTTTTTTGTTAAATTTGATTAGATAAATTTCTTTTGGCATGACACACTATAGAAGATATTATCGATAACGCATTCATATGTGGTTCAAAAAATGATCATATACTGCTGTTCTGTAATAATAAAAAACATCAGAAGCTACAAAACCTTGAGTTCTCAAATGAAAAATTAGAAAAGCGCAAATTACTGTTTTCTCCCTTGAAGTTATCCAAAAGGAACTAGTTTCCAAGTGTAAAAGATGCAGAATTTTTCGAACTATCGACTAGAATGTTTATGCATTATAGGGCTCACTTCTTATTGTTTTCCAACAGAGGAAAAAGTAAAAAATACATTTGTAGTTGGTGATGTAGTATTTTATTTTGAAGGTTTTCTCTATGCCTTGAGTTCAAAAATTAAAAACAATGAGTCTTTTTCTGCAATTTGCATCATTTTAATCGGAGATAATAATGTGAAGATTAGAGCTCGTCAGATTCGAGTTCGAAAACTTTGAATCCACTGAGCTCTACTCTACACATTTCTCAGACGACTTGTCTGAGAAATATGTAGGATGCACTAGTCATCGAATATAAAAAAAAGCAGAAAAAAGTATCTTTTATCTTTGGGGCAATTATCCTATTTCAATTAGAAAATTTCGTTCGAAGTTCGATCGGGTTCTGGTCCGAGACCTTTTGACCTGACGTGCTCTATTTGAGATATACTAGCTCGAAGGAAATGCCGTCAAAAGTAGATCATCAATTAATTAGTTGTAGTACCTTATTATAGCTACTGGGATTTCGTTTCAGAATAAACTATTGACACTTTGTTGTATTTTTTGTGATGCCTTAGTCGGATGACGGCAGGAAAACTTGTATAAAGATATCAATCGATTCTTTTCCAATGTGGTGACAAGCATTTAGATCTCTGTTAATTTGAACTTATTTTAAAGGCTATTAAAGCAAACTTTTATCTAAACATAGCACTTGAAACTAGAGAAAATCCAAAATCTTTTAAGATTTAAATGAAATTTTAAAAGTTAATTAGATTAGCCAAATGACGAGTTGCAAAGTGACGCCATATTCTCTGTTCAATCAATTATATATATAAAATATGTTTGAATAATTTTAGCTGCCTTTTTAACTGTTGAAAAACGTGTAAATCAAATTGAAAATGCCGAAGGTTTGGTTAAACAAACGAAAATAAAATACGGTCTTGTTCGTGGCGGTTCAACAGAACAATTCTTTCGAGTTGATTTTTATTCGTTTATTTGTATTTATTTTTTTATTCTAAATTTTATTTTTTTTTAAAAAGGAATCAACTATTCCCGCTTATCAAGCTATTTGGAAATATATGAGTAATAATCCAGATGTACTTGCTAACAGTAATCAAGAAGGTATTGATCGTGTTAAAGATGGATCATATGCATTTTTTATGGAATCAACATCAATTGAATATGCTGTACAACATGAATGTAATTTAACACAAATTGGTGGTTTACTTGATAATAAAGGTTATGGTATTGGATTACCAGAAGGTTAAATTTACACATATATATGAAATTATTCAGAAGCAAAAAAAAAAATGTATATTTTTATTTATTATTCTAGGAAGTCCACATCGAGAACGTTTTTCTGAAATAATTCTTAATTTGCAAGAAAAAGGAATTGTAAGTTAAAGAGATAAAGAAGAAAAAAAATGAAAAAACAATATATTTTTATTTTAGATTCAAAAATCTTATAATAAATGGTGGAAAGGTAAAGGATCATGTTCATCGGGAAAGAAAGATTTAGAACCTAATCCATTGGGTCTTACAAATGTTGGTGGAATTTTTGTTGTACTTATTGGTAAAAAATTAATTTGATTGATTTCTATATATAGTTTTTTTTTTTCAATTTATTTCATATTCAGGCGGTGTTATTCTTTCATTATTTGTTGCTATTTTGGAATTTTTATGGCACGCACGAAAAAATCATTCAAATAGACGAGTATGTTTATTCATAGGAAGTAGATTTAAAAATTAGAATATTAAGTAAAATATTTCTTCTTCACGTCACTTCTTGAGTAGTCATAAAAATAGCTTTTCTAGTCATTAATTACTGGGAATATTATAAAAAAAAATCTATTTTTAGCATTCTGTTTGGTGGGAATTATTGAAAGAAGTACGTTTTTCAATTCAATGTGGTGCTTCAAATCGTAAAGCACTTAGTACTCGTCGTTGTTCACAATGTACAAATGATTATCATGATACAGAATTAAATTCAATACCTTATCAACATCGTCGTCGTTCATGTAATAGTCATTCATCATCAATAGCATCAATGAATTTTGGAACAAATTTAAAAACACCAAAAATTCGTACAAGCATAGAACGAACATCTGATTTAGATAAATTTGATGCAGTACTTATGCTTGCTAGTGAACAAAAGAATCATTCAGATTCATATAATAAACAACAATATCATTCATCTAGTTTATCAAAAAGAAAATCTGTTCCATTAATAATTGTTGAACGAAAAACATCCAATCATGTACAACACAATATTCGATCTCAACATGTACGATTTCTTACAAGTGCAGGTATATTTTATTTTTAGTATAAACAACAGTGAAGAAATGAAACAGAAAATAATTGAATATTATTTTCTTTTTACATTTTTTTTTTTTTCTATTTATAGATTCATCTCCAAGACAAAGTCTAAAGATTGAACATGATGAAAATGATACTGGTGATTCTAATGATATTAATGTATCATTACATTCGACTTCGTCAATGAATTCTCGTCTTCCTTTTCATACATCTCGATTGTGATTTTTATCAATATATTTGTTCGTGTGTGTATGTATGTATTTATGTCTGTATGTCTCAATTGTTATTTGTTCTTGTTCTTCTCGATCTTTTTTTCGTTTGTATAAATAAAAAGAAAGAATAAAAATTTAATTCGTATATTATATCGAAACAAAAAAGGATGTTAAGCCAATTTGTTGTGGTTTCTGTTTTTTTTTGTGTAAACAGTCTATAGTTAATTAGAGCTATTTCGTGCGTCATAACCTTTGTCTTTCGTTTAATGTTTTGACAACAGGTTGTGTTGTGTCTGCTCCTATTGTTTCATTCCATCAGCAACAAAAAAAAAAAATCTTTTGTTTTTTTTCGTGCCCTTTGAATCTCGACAACAAATAAAAATCCATTCTTACAAAAGGATATGCGTAGGACAACAAAAGAAAAAAATTGCTTCTGAATAAATACTGTTGCGCATTACTCTTTTCATGCATTATTATTAAAAGTACTGAAAACAGTATGTCACGCTTATCAGGTCATCGAAATTTAAATCTCAAACCAGTATCAACATTTAATGAACCACCAGGATCAAACCTTATCTTTAAATGGTCTATATCGGCTACTCCTTCACCGTTCCTAGAAGATAATTATTCGTCAGTTATGCTTCCTTCAATTGATACTGCTCGATCTCGAAGGAAAATTTCTACTGATTCATCTACATTAACACGTAAGTCTATTTCAATTACGATGGAGAATAATAGAACGTTGATATAGTATAGAAATAGATTTCATTAAAAATGATTAAGATGAACATTCATTTCTATTTGTTATTGTTAGAAAAATATAAATAAGTTCGTTTAAGAAATTCAATTGATTGTTTTGTTTTTTGAATCAATTATTCATAAATTAATATCTATTTTATATTATATATCTAGATGTCAGTTCAGCAAGTCATTCTTCTGTATCTACACGAAGATCCTCATATCTACCTTCTGTTAACAAGACATATCTTTCACCAGTACCAACTGAAGACGATCAAAGTTCTACACAAAGCAGTCCATTATTACTTGGTTATCGTCAATTACATCAAGCATTATCTTCTTCCCCAGTAAAACAATACACAGAAAACAATCTTTCTATTCATCCAATATCTGATGATAAACGAAGCAGTGTTTCTATCTATTCAATATCTGATAGTAAAAGAAACAGTATTTCTATTCAATCAATATCCAATAACAAACAAAACACTGTTTCTATTGATTCAATATCAGATACGAAACAAAATAGTGCTTCTCTTCATTCAATATCCAGTAATAAACGAAGCAGTATTTCTATTCATCCAATATCTGATAACAAACGAAACAGTATCTCTTCTGTGAACAATAAATTATCTTCTACATTAAAAACAACAAAGTCATTAAAGACTACAGCACCTTTAATATCGACAAAATATGAACAACGTTTATTAAATAATAATTTTGTACGATTAAATACAGCGCAATTACGTCAATTAAATGTATCTGAAAAGTATATGAATGAAGCAAAAAAACTTTATTATAATATTCCTTGTAGAAGTTTTGTACCTCGTGTTGCAATGGTATGAATTTGTTAAAAGAAATAAATTATTAAATCTATTAAAAAAAAAAACAGATCTTTTTAAATGTTTATAAAAAAATAAACACATAAAACTAGTTTTTAATAATTATTCGTTGTCATTAGATTTATCTTTTTTACCAGATATTGTTCGTATTGTTGACATAGTAGCAACTGTTGAAGCTTTTGATAATGCAGTTAAAGACCTTAAAACACTACTACTACTAGTAGTAGTAGTATTTGCATTATTTATTGTTATACTTTCTGGTAGCTCACGTAATTCTTCATCAATTTTGACAATAGGTAAATGCATATTTATATCAATTAATTTACATTGTTTTTCTATAAATGATTTTATATACTTTAAAAGTGTTGTTTCTGTCATTGAATTATGATCTTCATTACGTAATAAAATTAATTTTTTTCCTTGAATATTTAAACATGCATCATGTAAAATTTCTGAATGATTCGGTGGTATGAGTGTGTCATTTGAACCATGTATAAATAATACAGGACATTTTATATGTTTCATTGTTTCAAGATTATTCCATGAATGACTATTAACTAGTAATGAAAGAAATCCAACTTTTTCTCGTACTAAATTATTAATAGATGTATAAGGAGATTGTAATATTAATGCACCAATTGATCGAGTTGATGCAAGATAACATGCTGCACCACTACCAATTGATTGTCCATATATAATTATTCTTTCAATTGGCCATTTAATAATATTATGAACAAAATTTATTGTTCGATCAGCATGATTATTAATTGTTTGTTGATTTGGTGATTGTACTGGACATAATCCATATGATGGATATTCAAAACTTATAATATATACATTTAAGTGTTTACTAAATTCACTTAAAGTATACTGCATTGTACCAATATCACACCCATTTCCATGACAAAATATCATAAAATATTCGACTTTTTTATATGAATTTTCCGGTGAATAAAACATACATGGTATAGGTGATTCATTAACTGAATCAGAAGGTAACCAAAATAAATTATTTTGATGTGATATTATTGTATAATGTGGTGGTTTTGGTGCTGGAAAAATGATTTTATTTAATAGCATCTAAAATATTTAAAAACAAAACTATCTAAAAAATGATTCTTTACAAAGATCAATTTTAGATTCCCGGAAAAATAAAATATAATACAATATTCGATAACATTATGCTATCGAACAAGATGAACAACATGGAGAACGTGAAAAATGAAAAAATCTAACTAAACTTGAAGAAGGTTCTTCAGATGTCGGTTGATCATGTTGTAAAAGAGGAGAAGATTCATCTGTTACAGTTGAATCATCGATCATTGGTTCGATAATTATTGTTTGTCTATCACATGTTGATGTCTGTTCAATATTTTTATCATCGACTTGTACAGATGATAGTATAACATTATCGATTTCTACAGATTTTTCTATTTCATCACTAATATTATTTGACGGAGGATGAAATGAATCTGAATCATCATTAACTAAATATGATAAACATTACATTTTATTTTATGTTCAATAATAAAATAAATTTTGATTTAATTATTTTTTATAAACATTCTTTAGAAAAATCATACAAATAACTTACATAAATGTTGTTCATGAAATATTTCATAATATCCATCTTGTTGTTTTTTCATCATATTACATAAATGAATTGATCGACAATTTTCTATACCAAAATGATGATCAGTATATTTTGAATCCCAACATTGATCAATTTTTTTTATACCTTATTATAGAAAATGAGAAAAAAAAATACCCATCTTCATATTGATATTTATAATGAATAATCAAACCTTTTCGATGTAAATCGCGTGCTTTTGAAAGTTTAAATAGTGTTAAATGTGGATTAAATTCACGAACATCTGTTGATGTAATACCATTTTTTTCATAAGTTTCTCGACATATTTCTTTAAATAGATAACAAAAAAACAAAATTCTCAATGTCAAAAACTATAGAACATAATATTATACCAGCAATACGTGCAAGTACATCAAGATGAGCATCTTTAACCGGATTTATATAAAGTACTTTATTATCAAAATGAGAAATACCAGTAAATGTAATCTGTGGTGGTGGTAATCTAGCCAATTCAACTTGATGATATACATCAATAAGACTTTGCCGAGCTCTAAATAAGATATTATGAAATAGAATAATTAATAAATATCGAAAGTAAAAGTCTAGTATAGGATTTTTCACTTAATATGTTTCATTAAGATTACATCCGCATTTATTGAAGCACTATATATCCTTTATGGTAAAGTTAAGATGCCATTATATATTCTATTGTTGATGAAATCGACTATTAAAGCACAATATTCTTATTTAAAGTAGGACTAAATCTGACAATTAATATAAAGAATTGTTTATGTAAAAATAAAATATCTTTGAGATTTCATTTTATACTAAGGCACGCGGAAGGGTAGAATTTACTTAGTTGACAACGCTTATTATGTTTTAGAGTTACTTATACATCAATTCTGCACGAATAAAATCACTGAGTTGATTTCTTTAAAAAAATATATCAAGTTGACATAGGCAATTTAATAAAAATTGATTCATAGATAAGCAACCGGTAATGAAATGTGACTTGAAAAAATAATAGATTTTTTGAACTTATTATTTAATTTATTGGACATCTTCAGATGTCGAGAGTTACCTTCCGATAGTATATAGAGCACATCATAACTAAGCACTTATTTTGAATTTTTCTATTAGGCGATCAAACAAATGTCGATATTTTAATAAAACTTTGTGAGATATTGAACAACAAAAAAAACTCTACGTGAAACTCCTAATTGTCAATTTTTCTCAATAATATCTGTGTGATTTATCTATTCAAATAATGTACATTATTAAAATGAGAACTTAACTATCATTATATACTTTGTTGATAGTATCCATCAATCAGTTCATTATTATTTGTTGTTTAGTTGATTTCAATAACTTCAACAAATATGTTAGAATCAGCATGACATTTTCAAAATGAAGTAGACAAAATTCATGCCAATACAAAAGAATAATAATAAAAAGAACAAAAAGAAAAAACATACACAGTCATGTAAATAGCGTTACCTATCATTTTAGGGTTATCAAAGAAGCCAATTAATAAATACGCATGTCATGTCATCTTTTCAGTTTCAAATCGAATAATAATTTATTCTCATAAAATATAATAAATTAATATGAAGTATAATTAGATTGTCACTCGTGCAAAGTTCAAATAGAACACGGGCAATGCATATGTTAGCATTTTTTCTTGTTAAAACAGTTTCTAATATCAATTCTTCTTCAGCATGTTCTAAACACGAAAGTACTGTCAAATAAAAAATAATTTTTCATATTCTATTTTTTTCTAGATGCTTGAGATTTTTGTTGTGTATAAATTTTTAAGGCACACAAAACGATAATTACAGTATAAATTTTGAAAAATGCTTTCTAATTCAACATGAAACTCAAGTATTGAGAACGAGTGGTTAACTTGAATCGTGACTAATGGGTCGAGTGGGCGAATAAGTAGAAGAATTTATCGTGGCAACTAAACAATTGAAAAACAATTAATCGGTTGCTGTACTTTTTACAATCATCCGTCATAAGTGTTGACGTAAACTATAGATATTTTTAGTTTTCGATTAACTGCATTAGTCATTTCACAAAAAAAAGAAAAAAATAATTTTTTTTTTTTGTATCATAATACAACAATCACAGATTATCCAAATGATTAACTGTTAAATAAATTTCTTAATTATTGTACCTATATAATTTTATTCAAATTTCAAAACAAAACTCTATTGAATTATTTATCAAGAAGAAAATAAATGCAAAAAAATACTTAATATATAAACTCCTAGTCATAATAGAAGCTCATAGGACTTTTCAAATATCCAAATATTCAAAAATTTTAGGATAGGAGACTACTCATACGACTTGGATGTGAGTGCTATCGACCAGATGATTCATACTATATCAATATATTACGAATAGAAAAAAAAATGAATTTGTTAATCTGTGACGAAACTCAAATGCGTGTTTTCCAACAAAGTGATGATCTTAGACGTTGATGAAAAATAAAAAAATGACTTATAAAGATTATTCTTAATCATGTGTATTTGACGTCTTGAGAAGTATTTTTGTACGCAGATCATACTTGACTACGACTAATTTAATAACATCTGCGAAGTTTTACTTGAAAAACGAATAATGTATGAATATCTTTGACATCGATCACTCTGAGGAGGGGAATCTTCTGTTTCGGAGAATGGTTTTTTAATCATGTTGAACTGCAAATTATACAATTAAACGTTTTGTTTCTCTTTTCTATTAATAGTCTCACGTTTCTAAATTTCACCTTTAATGACAATTGCTTATTATTATTACATCTAAAAATATAATATTATTAATTAGACCTTGAACTAAATAATCCTATCAAAAATTAGTACTCAATCTCCTTTTCATTCATAATTATAATACGTCATTATTATTGATGTTTAAAAAAAAAAAGACCGAACACTCCCTAATCAATAATAACTATACATTGAATTAAAAGCCAATTAAAATCTACAACCACTAACATCATACCAAATCACTTCTATTATACAAGTGACACGTGTCAGCTTTTCTCATGTATATATATATATATATGTAGTGAATGATAAACTATGCTTATTCATTTACTTTTTACTTTTACAATTTATCTGTGTAATAGTTGCATACAAAATAGAATGTCGTATATATTACTTTTTTTATTATTTGGTTCAAATGTAATGATTTTTGCTGAACCACCTTTGATAATTGATCGTATAAAAGAACGTTTAGAAAATTCAGCTCAACAATTATCAATAGAAAAACTTGTCGAATTACCTAATGCTACATCTTATTTAAATAATTATCTTACAAAAAATTCACCACATATAATGGATTTAAATGATCAATTAACAAAAATAATACAAGAATGGAGTCCACGTCTTTTAGCACTTGATCCAACATGTCCATATTATTTTTCAAAATTTAATAATATTTCATTACCTGAACATGATCGTAATCTTCTTTCATATTTACAAGCAAGTAAGTATTAAAAACAAATTTATATAATTATTATTAAATAATGATCATTTGATTTTTTTTTTCTTTCTATTATTATTATTATTATTTTAGTTGAATCAAAGCAAACAACTGCTTATCCATTTGTTAATATTTTACCACAATCATATCGTAATGCTATTCCACTTTTATCGATTTTTCGTTGTAGTGAATTAGTTTATTCAAAACCCAAGTTATTTTTTCATAATATTGAACTTATTATTGGTCCTGGTCAAGATGAATTATCATTAGAACGACAATCAAATATGTTTTCACAATTATATTGTTCACTTTATGGTTGGCCACAATTTATTCTTATTAATCAAACAAAACAATCAATGATTACATATGATTCAGAAACTTTACTTTCACAAGATAATCTTGCTGATATTGAATATTTTTCAACAAGTTTAGCACCTGGTCATTGTTTATTTGTACCATCTGATTGGGTTACAGGTGCTCAACTTAATAATAGTATTTCAATAGTTTTTACATTAAAAAAAATTGAAAAACCAATTGTAAATGAAAATAATGATAATCTATTACCATGTACCCATACTGGTGCAGCAGTATTAGAAACAATTGAATTTACTATTATCGATACATTCAATATTAGTGACATTGGTTTAATAGTTTACTTTTATCAATATCTTAATCCTCCAATGTTCGATAGAGAATATACACGTGAAACATTTTTTGATCATTTTCGAGAAGATCAAAATGTTTCAAAATTAATTATGAACTGGACACCAGAATTAACCAAGCTTATTAAAAACACACTTTTTGACGACCTTGATATAAATAATGATGGAAAATTTAGTGCAGATGATTATTTTGATATTAAACAAACAGGTATGCAACGAATACAAAATTCTATTTATGATATACTTGAAACATTACGTCAAATTGTTCTTACACAATTTAATGAATTAAATGCAACAATAATAAAAATGACTGAAAAATTTGAAAATGTTGGAATGAACGAAAATATGAATGACGATCTTGAAGATTTAATTAAAAATTTACCTGAATCAGTTAAAGAACAATTAAAAAAAAATAATGTTAGTCTTGAAGATGCTTTACATAAACTTAAAAAAGATAAACCTAAACGACCATCAATAGATAAACAACGTGTAAGAGAAGATGATGCTTCAATACTTTTTGAAAAAGAACAACTTGAAGAATTAATAGAAACTCTTGATCTTGATCAAGAAGAAGAAATTACAGCCGAACCAATTATTAATGAAGATGAACCTCCTCATCGAACTGATCTATGATCTTTTCTCTTCTTTTTTGTTTTTCTAATAATAATTATTCTACTAACCTTTGCTTGTCATCGTCGGTTTTTAATGCAAAAACCATAAGAGTTATATGAAGTGTTGGAATTGATATACTAGCTTTTAATAATAATGGATTAGATTCTATAATTTCTTTTTGAAGTTCATTAGCATGATCAATGATCTAAATGAAGAGCAAATACTTTTTTTTTTGTCACGAAGTATTAATTAAAAGAATTTTTTTTGCATATTAATAAAAGCACTCTTCATAATTAATATACAATGTAAAAGATGTCAAGGTGTTGATTAGAGCATATTGCTAACTTATAACTATTAAAATTTGTTTCTTTTGTTTTTTTGTTGTTGAAAAGAAGCATATATGAACTATAAATTTTTTACTACACATCGTTTTTTTCCCGAATAATTCTATCAAACTTTAGAAAAGTGTGGATGCGTGGTTCTTGCCAACGCTCACACTCACAATTTCATCTTTAAATGAGCTTGTTCCATTCACTTCTGAAATTAAATAAAAAGAATTTACAGCAATTAGAAAATGATGTGGCTTGATGATGAAATTGCAAGAAAATGTTTAGAGGTTTTTTCTTTCTGGTTTTTATAGTTTTGGGACTTTTATAGAAGAATGTGTAGTAAAAAACTTTCAGATTACATATTATTTTTTCCAACGGAAAGAAAAAATGTCATTAGTGTAGAAGTTAGTGATATACTCTAATAGAGTTAGTCAGTTTTGGAAAAGGAAATTTTAACATAGAGAAAAACTTTTATAAAGAATACTTAACTAATAAGATAAAGAAAAATCTGTAAAGTCCAACTTTATGACTATCTCATGCTAAAATCTGATGTTTTACATTTTTTTTAATAATCATGTAAATTTCACCCCCCTGTGAGGAACGATGCAATGGGTGTGATAGAATATGTCTCTTTTATTAATTAATTTCTTTCTTGAAAAATAGGAACTTTCATTATCCTAAAAATCTTTTTACAAACTCTCGAAATTATTTTGTTTTTTTTAGAAAACCTCTTCTAATTAAAAATTATGAAAATAAATGAGACACAATAGAAGACTCCATCGAGAAAAATTTATACCCTTAGACATAATAGGTGATCCGATGGCTTCTATTGAGGAGAGAAGCTTAATACCTTTCCTTTCATGTTACTATAATCATAGTGAATAGAGTTCGATGTTTCTGACTCGATCCTCTAAATATCACATGGAACCGAAACTATTAAATTATCACATAGATACGAAAATTTTAAATACATTTATGAGGAATTTTTACTATTGAATTGTTGGGATTACATATGCCACATATTTCAATACTTAAACAAAAGAGTATTATACATACAAATTGAAATCTTTTATATCAAGAATGAAAAACTCAAGATACCTCAATATAGATGTAAGAATTTTTTTTATCTATTTGATTATATAACGATTTTGGTTCTGTTCTCATTTCCAGTTTTTGGGAACTGCCGAACTCTAATGATGAATCTTAGCATGTTGAAAATTTTGTTGCTCAATTTGACGAAGGATTTTCTTTTTCATACTATAAAGCTGCTATCATCTCAAATATTACACGAGAAATATTGATCTATGTTAATTAAGATATATTTTTCTGATCGTTTATATCTTCTTGATTTACACAATAAACAAAAATTTTTAATTTACTTGTTGATTTGTTATTCTAAAACTTAAAAATGCATTTGGTCGTATAACTTTTTGTCGTTTGTCTTGTTTACCTAAAAACAAAAATTGATATAACAAATCGAATTTTCTCCATTGAATATTTCTACAAAGTTAACAATGCTTTTTTTTTCTCAACAAACCTTTCTTTGTTGTATTCGTTTGTTGTAAAGATTCTTCTTGACTATCATCATCATCTTGAACGTTTACATTCTGCTGTGAAGTTGGTCGTTGTCGTTTATTTGATGTAGACTTAATAATATGTTTTCCTTGAGTTAATAGTTTTTTTGTTTGTTTAGATGACGCCATTATGATTATCTATAGATAAGAAAAATCATGCAAACATGTTATTCTTGAGATATCCATGCATATCTAAGATACTTTTTTAAGTACTCAGGAAGGGAAAATATATGAGTAATAATTATTAAAAAGGTTGATGCTATTTACGTAAGATATAGAAGTTAAATATTTACAGACGTTTAAAAAAAAAACTTTATATTATTATTATCATTTGATTATCAAGGATTTTATTAAGAAATAAATGTACTGAAAACTTCGAAAATCAGCTATATTTACATTCCTATTATTATAATTCACTTTTTGAATGAAATGAATTACTAATAATTTTTCTTTTTATATAAGAATGTATCATGATAAAAACTGTATTATCTTGAAATATAAATTTATAAAAGCCAGTAATGAAGAGAAAATTCTAAAAACAAATTTTATGGGAAAAAACGCATTCTTCAATTCATAGAACATAATCACCATGACAAACATGTTCATATTTATTCACAACTCATTTCACAAAAACATTATGTGTCATAAAAATAAGGAAAAAATGTAAGATTTTAAAAACAGTTGAAGGTATAATTTTTCCATTACAAAAGAGAATACGTGCTGATATACAAATACATCCTAAATATCAAAATTATTTCATAAGCTTTCTTTTCAATTGTGTTCCGCTACTGTAAGCATTGGATAGAATCTTAATAGTAATTTGAATAGAGAAACTTGATTTACCACAAAAAGTTAAGGAAATAAAAGTTATTATCAAACTCGCAAAGATCAAAATTCCAGAAAACCCAAATCCCAATTTTTTAACACTTAGATTATATAATTTGGTTTAGACCACAAAGAACGATACAGTTGACTATCCCCTCTACAAAATGTGATATCATCGAGTTCTCTGAGACATTTTTCATCTGAGATAAAGCGATCTGATTGAATGTCAAAAAAATGTATTCCATACTGAAGGTTCATAGATGGACTGTGAGAGGAAGGTAGTTTTCAGGTGTCGGACAACTGTGTGAAAATTAATATTTAAGAATACGACCTTAAAGAGCACAAAGTCCTAAATAAAACGAGGAATTTCTGCATTTCTTATGATCTTTCTTTAAAAACTGACAAGCCGTGGCGTGTTCAACTATGTGGCATTGAGCAACAGCCGATGGGTTTACTGAAAATAATGACAATTACTCATCGCTACCCATGAATCAAAACAGATTGACTGATAAATCACCCAAAATAAAAAACTGTTGACTACGTCACTGGTCATAAGAATCACAAAGTGAAAAAACGGTAAATATGCTCTTCGCCGAAAGCCATATCGCAGAAATTTGGCCAACTCGGTTTCGACGAAGTGTCATTTTGGTGATGCAACCAACAGTCTGCAATCTGTCGATTCGATAATGTCACTGTCGACAATATTACTATCTGAGATATTTTATTTCGGTGATTTCTATTATAACTGCTGAATCTGCCCATGATAATCTAAGACGATATCAGCAGGGTTAAAATCTTTTGGTACTGTAGTTATTCATGTTTATCGTATTTAGTAATTACAGTGATGGATCAAATCAGTGGCTAACTTGAAATGGTTATCAAGTTGAATTAGTGAGCGTAGATTGAAACGGTCACTAAGTAACTTAGTCACTAAGTCAAATTAGTGATAAACTTGGTTTAGGAACAGAATTCGTAATTAAATAAGTTGTTGCATACTAGAGCTTTTACGAAAAGAGAAGATTGTTATTTCTGATGTGAACGTTAAAGTTGAATATCAGTTGCTGTACATGTCAAGAAACGTATCTGATAGGCTTTCTGAAAAGGAAAATAGAATCCATCATGTTCGAATCGTATATTAGTAAAATGAAGTACAAGAATAAAGATGGCTGAAAGATATTCGGCGATCTTCATTTCGATGATGTTGATTTCGGCGATCTTCCTTTTCGGCTATGTCTGTTTCGGCGATGACGCATACAACTAAAAAAAAAGCATTCTTTTGCTTTTTTCTGATGCTCAAAATTTTCTAAGAGAAGATCGTAGGAAATGCTGGAACTGTCCTTTTATTCAAGATTTTGTGCTTTTTAAGATATTATGCTTGTTATCTTACAAAAAAAATTAAAAAAAACGTTGATCTTATATGTTTGACTAGTACAGTATATATCTTAGAAAAACACTCCTCGAATAATAATTTTCTCTGACTTTCGTAGCCTATTCTAAAACAAAAACAAACTTCTTAACTCCTTTATTTATATCTATGAAAGTATAACTGAAAAATGATCTTGAATTTTTGAAATAAATAAAACATAATTAAATATAAACAATTTTTTTCTTTCTTTATGTCTATCAAGAAAAACAAAAAGCATATAAATATTCACAATACAAATAAGGGTTTTTTTTTCTCTTTCATATTTTATAATCTATACATACAACAAATAACATAAACAAAGATCGGGATTAATACGAAATATTAATAACAAGAGGAGGAAAAAAAAACGAAACAATGACTGTAATATAAAATAGAAAACCAAAAGAAAGCAAATAAAAAATATTGCAACCATATGGCTTATCATTATCCAATCCATATTCACTGTTTGGAATGAATAATCAACTAAATAAAAATGAGCATTTCTTTGTTATCTAGTATGATTTATATATAACAATATTGTTATTAATAAAAGAATATAGTTTGATAATAATTGTTTTGATTGAGAACAAGGATTAATTAATTTAGCTGAATAAATTGAGATAGATGTTTGATCTTCATTATTATTAAATGAACATGTATGACTGTTATTTCGAATTATAATTGAATCACTCATTTGAAAATTCTATTCAAATACAAATAATATAATTAAATAAAAACAAAAAGAAAAACATACAAGACAATAAGTAGCATTGGAATAGTTTGATTGAGCAAGTAGATAAATTGTTGATAAATCATTGGATTTCCATGATGCAATACATGTATCCATTTGAGTTAGTGAACGATATTCAATGTCTAAATTATAAGATGAAACATAAACTTTTACAGTATAAACGGGATATTCTATCGATCTACTAAGATTTTTTGTTTATTTTAATTTTTGATAATCTCCAGAAAGGCTAATAGACTTTAGTAGATATTACAAAAGAAAAATCAGGAATATGATCAATGATTTCTTCAACTTGTGTAAGCATACATCATTCCTAAACTTCCGGCATTGATCGTTCCTTGTCCGAGAATAGTCGGACTCAAACTTTCCGGTTACGATGAATGGTTAGACTTCTTTAATTCATTTGTGTTCACTATTTTCTTCTCAATGGTTCCATTTGAACATTTACAATCATTTTGATTATATTCTTTCAAGTAGTAGTTTTAATCCTTATGTCTCGTATAGATATGTGCTCACTTTTTTTTTTTTATTGCATCGAACCTAGTTTAGCATCTAACCGTAATTAATCACTATGCATAATACTTTATTGACTTTTTTCAAATTCATTCCGATGAAGAGTTATGAGAAAAAATAAAATCAGAGAAAAATATATTTGCTATTAAATCTCATAAAAATATATTAGCATCCAAAATAAGTTAAAGTCCAATATTGGTTTGATATTAATGAACTGAGGAAGAAATGATATTTCAAATTAATAAAACCATTAATTGATCGATTAAATTCGAATTCACAAAGTTATGAATTATTTTCATCGGAAACTGTTCAAAACTTCGTGAATTCAAACTTTGAATTGATCAACTAATGATATTATTGATAGAAATATCATTTTTGCATCTCAGTGCATTAATACGAATCTGACATTGATCGATAAACTATTTAGGTTTTAACATAAATTTTCTCCTCAATCCGATATTAAACGCATCCAATCTGAGATTGAACGTAATCCCAGTTTGAATGATAATATATATAATCCATTATATATCTCATATTTTTATTTACTGACAAGTTTATCATCTTTTCTACGTAACTCACAGTAGATTCAGTACATTGACATTGAACCTCAAATTAAAATATAATTATATTTATATAAATAATCTTTTCTATTAAGTTTCTATTCATATTTATAACCTTTTTCTATTTGATAAATAATTAATTTATCTTTCTTGTCACAACCAATAGACATATGAAATATTTTTTTTCTTAAAACTAATTGTCGATGATGATTATGATGATGATTGAAATTTGATTCAAATAATAGATGTCCAATTGAAGTTGGACATGATGATGATGAATAATTTGATTTTTTAATAAATGTTAATATTTTACTATATTCATTATTATGACAATTATTTATAATTAATTCTAAAACATTATTTGTTCGTTTTTCTATTTGTAAACATTTCTCATTAACATCACTATGCAGAAAAAAATAAAATAATTTGTTTTTTTTTTTCTAAAATTTTTATTTTAATTTAAATTTTATACCAATTTGTAAATATTCGAATACGATAATATGATGAATTTATTGATTGAAGACAATGAAATCGTTTATTATATTCATTTTGTTCAATATGATTCAATTCAATATCATTATTTCGTATAAACATTTGTATTGTACGATTAAGTGAATACCATTCATATGGTTGAAATTCCTCTGGATATATACAAGATATATTTGATTCATTAACCATATATCGATCTTAAGTAACATAAAGAGTAAATAATTAATTATTTTCAAAAAAAAAAAAAAGAAGCTGTTAACATAATCCCAGCGGGATTAAGATGAAAAACACAGGAAGCTGTTGTTGCTAATCATAAAGATATTGTTTTACTCTATCTATTCTGGGACACATTTCTTCGCCATCCTTTTACTTATTACTCCAGAAATGTAATAAGGAAGTATCTTGTATACTATAACGAGACACGATGTATATCGTATATCGATAAGCATCCGTCACAGTTATGGTCCACTGGTTCAAAAAATTTTTGAGGCCGGAGGAATCGTACTAGGATACTCTTAATGAAATTTCCTAACCTATTTTTCAGATGACTAGAGCCCATCGGGTACAAAATTTTTGGACTTGACCCCGATCGAGTCTAGAACCAACCTAATGGACTCTAGTCATAGTCTGTGATGTTGGAGTGTTGCTAAGATGTCTGTAGAGAAGAGGATACGAATTTCTATCCTATATATTTCAACACTCTTCTTAGATAGTGTTTCATAAAAAAAAAAAAGGTAACTTACTTATTGACGATAATGTCATTACTGTTGCCATATGTCGAGAATTTAGATCACGACATGAACCATCCGTTGCCATACTTAATGAAAATGATGATGAGATATCTTTTTCTTTAGTTATGTAATACTAAAATAATTAAAATATTCAAAAATAAATAAACTAAGAATAGATTATTTGACTTACAAAACATGCATATTGATTATCATTATGATGATGTTGTTTGGAAAGAATACGAGTAACAAAATATGTATGAAAACCTTCTATCCATGTTGCAACACATAATAATTGAAGATCAAGTGTTTGATGATAAGGTGAACATGATGAAAGATGTAAACGAAATTGATAATCATTTATACATTCACCAATATATGATGATGATGATGATCGATGGCATATTGAACCATCTTTAATTAATTTTAACAATAAAAATGGTGGTTGAATAGGACATGATTGAGGCTTAGAATCGTCTAAAGTTTTATAAAACAAAAACAAATATGAATAGAAATGAATATGTTGTCAAACAAAACTAGAAATGCAAATAACATCTTTTTGTCTTTTATTCTTTTCTTTTCTTTGTTATGCATATGAATCCTTTAACCTCATCATCATATGTGTTGTATGTTAAAACAACAATAATCACAACCATAATAATAATAACAATACTCACTTCGATGAAGTGTATACAATGGAGCATCCGGTGCAATCATATTTGGACATAAATTTATACTCGATAGATCATCCGCATCATTACATTCACCTAAATAAAAAGTCAAAAGAAAATCTATTGTATAATATTTTCTTAAGAAAAAGAAACATTACTTTCACGATATTGAAGTAAATTGGTATCTCGTTCAATAAATAAAAGACATCGCGTACAACGATTTATACTATGAATAAATAGAGAAAAAAAAAAGATGCATGCTAAAGATATTATTATGCTTCATTGCTGATGGTAAACCTTATTTTCTGCTATATTGATTCTATCTACGCACGTACATATATTAATATGATGTAATACCTCGGACATTGGGATTTTCTTTTCCTTCTATTCTAACTCATCTAACAAAGAAAAAGACAATTCACAAGAGACACATGTGCAATATTTGCTTGAGCTTTTACACCTCTTTACTAAGCCGAAAAGTCTTTTAATTAATTTTTCTTTTCACTCCTATATGTGAAAACTACGTTGAACACATGCAATAGAGATTATGATAATAGACGTATAAACTGATTAACTTAGTATAAACAAACTCGAAATGTTGATAATGATGACAAGTGATTTATACATACCGATCAGTAAAGAGGTAATACTGTTGTATAGGAAGTACATCTATACAACGTCCTTTTGTCTGGATATGATCGATTGTTATCTCTAATAATGAACTCATCCCACGTTGATACCATAAGCCAAGCCATGTCGTAGGCATATTGCACGACGAGCAAGCTATAGATAAAAAACAATGAAGGAACAGTATAAAAAAAAAAAACTTTGAAGGTCATACGTATATTACAAATGATTGTATATATATATATATTTTTTTTTTTATACGAAGCGTTCAATGTCGATACCACGCCCTTCAATCATTTCTCGTTATTCTATCATATATGATGAAAAAATCATTCATATGAATATTTAAAGTTTGATTAATGTAGAATTTCTTGCTAGGTCATCATTTCTTTTCATAATATTAATGAGACACTATATAAAGCATAAACGAATGAAGACGTAATCTTTTACAAAAAAAGTATTCAATAAGTCTCGTTTTTCTTTTCTTTTCTTGTCCCTTAAGTATTCAATGAAGAAAACTATATTATACATAAAATATTTTTCCTAAATATGTATACACATATACATTGTCGTTCAAGTCAATCATAATTACGTCATCGAACAGAAAGATCCATCAACAATGAAATGAATAAACACATCAATGTATATACACTTAGAATCATCATCAATCGTCATTTGCTTGTCTTTAGATTAGATAGTTTCTTATATGCGGATGCATTATAATAGCTACACATAAGGATATGGAATTTTTTTCTCATCATATAGCAACACTTGAAAAAGACAAAACAATTGATATAGCTACTATGAATGTTACAATCGATGATCAATAGAAGGCTCAAGGCTGACAATAGTTATAATCGAAAAGACAGGCAAAATTCCCACATACTTAAAAGGTTTCTCTTGTCCTCTTCATCGTATGCATTCATTCACTTTATAACATCTGCTCATTTCTAATCATCACTTAAATAAGAGACGAAATGACGTAGTAATAACGAATTAAATTCATTCGTTGAACTTCAATATTCATCATATGAACTTCTCAATTTAATTACTGATGATGAATTGAATACGTTGATTATGACTGAAGATAAACGAGTGGGTGGGATTTTAAAAAAAAATGAAGAAGAAAAAGTGTCTAGGGCAGATGGACAACAGTTCACATGCATTCAAACATAAATGACAGTCACGTAGAACGGTGTATTGTTTAAATAAATCCAATTGACGAATAGAACGCATGTGCATATATCATTGTTCATTCTTCATCTTCATTCGATCGACAGCTGTCGTGTGTGCGTAAAACGTATGTTCATTCGATCTATCAGTCTAAACAATCATGTATCTATTTTGACAAATCGTTCACACTTCTGTCATTCAAACGATCATCAAGATTGTTATTATTGAAGATGAATAGTGATTATTGAAACCGCAAAAACAAAAAAAAAACAAAAAATTATAAATATTACCTGACTTGATTTGTAAAAATAAAATAATATTTAAAAGAAATAATCGACGAATCCCATTCATCCGTGTGCCATCGTATGATCCTAATGTTTGATATATATATATATATGTTTCTTTTTTTGTGGGGGTTTTCTTTCTCCTTGTACAACTAAGATGAACAAATCTACATTTATAAGAAAATGAATAATGACTACAAGCGCGTACACAGAACGACGCGTCTTCCGTCTTCTTCTACTATTCGACGACGACAACGACGACGACGACACACATATACAATCTTTATTTCTTTTCTCTCTTAGGGAGAGGACGAGAACGAACCAAAGAGAGACAGAGAAACAGTAGAGAGTGATGATTGCCATCGTAATAAGCGACATAGAGAAAGACATGGACAAGAAGAAGAAGAAGAAGAAAAAAAAAGAACAAAGTGGCACGCGAATCACTCGTATATAAAAGCATGTTGATTAAGATAGAGCCGACAAACAACTGTCCGGACGCCGAACAAATGACCTCATCATCGGGAGACCTTTTTTCTTTTTTTCATTTCAATATATATATTCAATGTTCTTCTAGTCACGTCCGTCTTTTTTATTATATGTCTGAAAGTATCTCACACCTTCCTGCATACAACAAAAAAAAAAAGGTTGATGATGATCAACTTATATTCATAGCTTAAAAGATCCCATCTATATACTTATTTGAATTGTTCAAGTGAAAATAAGAAATATGAAGTACACTTTACACCTTATGTACACATATTAACAATCGACAATTTATGTTTTTTTTCTTCTTCTATTGTTTAATGTACATATACATGTATATACAAATGTATGATAAATGAATGAAACAATCAACAGATGGATAATGGTGATCTATCATTCACTCACCATATTTTAAGTGTCTGATGATTAGCCATATTTGTCTTAAGAATATAGTAAAATTTCAAAAAAATCTATAAAAAAAAGAAGAAGAAATTATATGATATCTAATAAGAAGTTGTCTTCATTCTATTGAAAACAATCGAAAATAATTAATTTTTCTGAATTATCACATGTAAAATGATGGTGAATGTTGTAAAAACAAAAGAAAGTGACAATTAAGAAGTTTTTAGTTCATTCGATTTTTTTTTTCAATCTTAATTTCCAGAATTATCTGTCATGGAGGAATTATGTTGATCGCCTTGATTTGTTGTGTTTGGTGATATTTCAGCATGAAGTTTTTTCTTATCCTTATGAACTACTGATTGATCATCACCATCATTTTTGTTTGTTTGTTGATCGTGTTGTTTATTAGATGTTTCTTCAACTGATGTTTGTTCAAAATCATCATGTCTTGTTGATTTTTCTTCTTTTAAATTCATACTTGCCATATCTCGACTAAAATTATAAAAGAAAAAAAAAAGTGAAATTACTTGTTTCAATATTCAAAATTAGTCAGGTCAATCAAATGAAAATATGATTTATAATATTATTTTTAAATAAAACTACACAAACACACAGGAGAGACAATACATGAAAGGTCAAATCGACGAACTAGTCTTTATTCTTGGTCAATTCTATTTAATTATATATTAACAGAAAGAGTATCTTGAGACTAACACTTTAGTACTAATTTCATGAGGTTACAGTCGAATTTTGAAAACTAAAAACTGTCAACAAAAGTAACCCATTTTTGATTATTATTCTAATAATTCATTCTATCAATGAATTCATTTTGAAAATAATTAGACAAGACAAAATACTATTGAAATTATGAGTTTTATAGTTCTTTGATGATACTTCAATCCTATATATAAATCATCGATTGATTGTTTAATTTAACGAGACATAAGTTTTGATGTACTAGTAGACAGTATTGGCATATTTATTGTATCTATGAATGAGTCTTATCTTGCAACAAATATTTTAATTTAAAAATTAAAATGATCACAATTCTGATATTGTTTATTCAATAGGCATTTTAAAAAGCTAGAAAATTCTATATTTTTTCAAAGTCAGAAAAGAAAAAAAATCTAGCCAATTAAAACATTTCATAGCATATTCTTTATCAAGTACAGTTTCGTGTTTTTTGTTTTAATCAATATTTCGAAGATTTCGATCAGGAAAAGTTAGATTTGAGTCAAAGTTAATATAATACTCTGAATCAATATAAAAAAATGTGAGTTGGTCAATGTGTGATTTAAAGAATTTCTGGAACATTTTTTTTTTTGATCGAAAAATTCATTCCTAATTCCTCTCAAAGATCGAATGCAAAATGAATTGCATTAAACCATCAGTTGAACATTATAAACAAAACCACAAAAGTTGTTTAAAGATATTACATCGCAAAATGATAGGTTTCTACAAAATGAAAACAATGTTTTCATTGAGTTCATTTTCCAACGAAAAAACTAAGTTTCTGATATTCTTTAAGTCGTATATAAACCAGTTTACTTTGTTTTATACTGATTTAGAATATCATATTAACTTTGATTCAAATGTACAGTTTTTCCAATGTCATAGTTTTGATCATTTCAATTTTGACATTAAACTATTTGTTGAAAGATAAGACTCATTCATAAATACAGTAAATATTTTAATACTGTCTACTGGGACATCGAACTTATATTTCATTAAACGAAGCAATCAATTGGTGATTTATATAATGGGATTGAAGCATCATCGAAAAGTTAGAAAATCATAATTTGTCTTGTTTGATTATTCTCAAAGTGAATTCATCGTGATAGAATGGATTATTACAATAGTGATAAAAAATGCTTTACTTTATTGACAACTTCTAGTTTTTAAAATTCGATCAAAATCTCATGAAACTAGTACTTAAATATTCTTCTGAATATACTCTTTTCATTCTTTAGTCGGCAAAGTTATCATAAATGATATATTCAATAAAATATATTTGAGAAGTCTAAGAGAAAAAATTCTAGATATTCTATAGTTCTCATTACATACGTTTGATGAGTGTGCAATCGACGATTTTCATTTATTGAATTGTCATCTTGTTCCATGTCTTCAGTATTTTGAGTATCAGACATATCAGTAGGAACGGACGGTAGTTTGTCGAGTAAACTTTTAATATCTTTTTCTGACGTTTTTTCTGTTTCATCTTTTGTTGAATGATCTATAACTTTTGGATTAAATGTAGTTGGTGTTCGTGGCTGATTATCATTGGCACTCAGATTTTTCTTAGTTTCTGTTTGATCATTATCATTCGATGGTGTTAATGAGTTTTCTATTGGTATTTTTTCAATATCAAAAGGAGTGAATTTTAATTCTTGAGCCTTTTGTACCCATGTATCATAAATATCATTATCCCAAAGAACAAATACAACCACAGGCACTATACCAGCTTCTTGATCAACTGTTCGAAGTGCAATATCAGCACCCTGATTTGCTGGCTATGAAATATAACATTATTTACAGTCATATAAGAACAAAGTGTACGTACATAGCCAAATATACCACAACTAATAGCAGTAAAACCAATTGATTCAAGATCATATAAATTAGCTAAAGCCAGTGCTGTTTTATAACATGAAGATAATTCCTTGGCACATTCTTCTGCTGCATATCGCTCGTATATTGGACCAGCTGTATTAATAATATAATAAGTTGTTGTTGACATATTATAGCTAAGTAAAATACGAGAATGACCAGTTGGTAAACGAACACCATGAGTGAGTTGTTTATGAGCTTTACATGCTGTATAGAGTTCATTTCCAGCAGCTCGATGAATAATTCCATCAACTCCTCCACCACCTGTCATATGTTCATTAGCAGCTATTATAAATAAAATAACATGAAAATAATTCTTCTCAGTATTACTAACAAACCGTTGACAATAGCATCGACTTTTGTTCTTGTTATATCACCTTGTAAAATAATCAATATTGATCGATTTTGATTAATAAAATAGTAACGAGGATAACGATATTTCGAACTTTTCCCAAAACCATAATTATCTATCAATGTTTTTTGTTTTCTGAATACAAGATAATATTTTAATTCATATACTTTTTATATTGTTTTGATTTACTTGTGTAAATATTTTAAAAGGTCGAAATTTTCATCTGGTGAATCCTCTTGTTGTTGACTAAAAGCTGGTTTTTGACTATTTTGTTTGTTGAATCTAGAAGAGAAAATTAAATTTGTTTAAAGTTTTTTGTTTAGATAAGTCCTTACGTGAGAAAAGATTTACCAAAGGACAGATAACGTACAATAGATATAAGAAAAGATGAAAGCAAATCAGCAATATTAAATCTGGAAAGAAGGGTAAACAAACAAAAGTTCTGAAATTCATATATGACTCATAACTATCAGTATTTCACTCTCATTTTATTATTAATTTGAAAGATATCACTTATTTTTTATTAATATATTGAAATCCTTATTAATGAAAAATCTACAAAATTTTTTGTGAATAACCGAAAACTCTTATTAACTTTACTATTGAATCTTTTGAAGAGACAATAAATCATGTTTACCTATTGCCTTGTTGTTCTTGTTTTGAATCTGGTGTTTTCATTTGATTCTCTCTCGATGACATTTCAGATAGATTTTAATTTTTAGTAAATCTATAATTATAAATAATAAAGAATATTTTGTGAAAAAAATAAACAAACTTATAAGCAAGATTTATCATTCAAATACTGTCTGTAAATGAATGTGCCATGTTAAAAAAAAACACATGACCATTTCGTTCATATTGATTTCAACTAGCTTTGGATTTCTGTAGTTTCACAACCTATTACAATTTATAATAGGTCAAATTTCACTCATTTTATTTTTTCTTTATTCATGCTGTAAAGCTTTTTAATTTGTTTTGTAACGAAATCGATTAATCTGAAGAAATATTTAACATATAACTATTGTCGGCGCCAGAATTAAATAGGGGTGGGTATAAGCTCAATAACTCGACAACCGCAATAGCTAGCGACCTGCGGTTTTCGTCAATCGAAAGAGGAGGAGTTGGGACGCCTTTTTCTCTGATAATGTATAAGACGAAAACCTTTTAAAACTAATCATATTCGAAAAGCATGCAAAAGAACCCATGAAAATGATCTGCCAGCTCGATGAAATTTAGATTTTGACGTTTGATTTAGATAGAGGGACTTGAGATCTATACTTCAAGACACAATGCACTTTCTTACTTTTTCTTACATTTTCATCGAAATCTCAAGCTACTAAGATAAAAGTGTGAAAATTTAGTAAAAAATCAGCAAAATTCTCTATTATTTGTGCATGTAAGAACATGATTCCATTTGCTCAACGTTAGAATGTAATAAGACAATCAATTGCATTGTATTTTGAGCTATAGATCTCAAGTCTCTCTATCTAAATCAAAGGTCAAAATCTAAATTTCATCTAGTCGGCAGATCACTTTCATGGGTTCTTTTGCATGTTTTTCAAATATGATTAGTTTTAAAAGGATTTCGTCTTATACATTATCAGAGAAAAAGACGTCCCAACTCCTCCTCTTTCGATTGACGAAAACCGCAGATCGCTAGCTATTGCGGTTGTCGAGTTATTGAGCTTACACCCACCCCTATTTAATTCTGGCGCCGACAATAGTATGGTGTTACTATCAAAAAGAATCCATTGACATCAACATTGGTTTTGTTTAATAGAACGCATATTATTTTAAAACCAAATGGAATGTATATCACTTGAAATAACCTTCATTTTTAACATCAATACGTGACCAAACATCACGCATGACAATCTGAAATTTAAAATAAATGTGAAAATATTTACATAATCACAAGTTGATCTATTATTTAATTCGCATAATTAACAGTATATTACTATAAATTAAATATATAAAATCCATTCTGGATAATATCATATAGTCAATTTATATTTAATGAACAAAGAAATCATTTTTATATAAATCCAAATTTTAAATTAATTAATATTAATCTAATATGTATTAATAGATGTTTTTAGAATTGAGGTTCTACTAATTATAGAAATATGAATTGAGAAAATATTTTCTTAAATAAGCAAAATTAAACTACAACTAATTTCAATATCATGAGTAATTTTCCTCATGTGAATAAACAGAAAATTATATAAAATTTTGATGTCAAGTTAATTATCATCTAGTAGCAATATAATAGATAAATTTGTTTGACTAATCAAATAATATATACACTACAAAGAGATATTTCATATTTTAGACTGATAAATTTATATAATTTTATCGAAATAATCGTTTCTAGTAAAGTAAACTTTTCAAAAAAATTTTTGTTTTCTTTTCCCGAGAAAAAAGCGACTAACATTAATGATTCTTTTATTCACTGAAGTAAATAAGAAAAAAAAATTTTGAGCAACGCAAATTGATACAGAAAAGAATGGTAGTTCGGAAGAACGAACGGAAGAAAAGTTTATTGGTACATATTGCAATCGATGATAGATGTCGAGAAGTATCGACAAAAATTGTTTACTTTTAAACAAAGGTATTTTTAATGTTTTTTTGGAAAAATCTAACAACAATCGGTCAAATCATTTCTTTTAGTAATTGCCAATAAGTTATGATCTACTACTTTCAACCTATCAATGTAATCCTAAAAATCTTGCCAGTAGATCACATTTTTGAAATCTGGTCTGGAAGAAAAAATAGATGAGACCAAATTTGGATTGTCAGTCTGTGGGCTGTACTATCTGAAAACACTTGCTAAACCAAAATAGTTCAATGAATTCAACGAATTAATTCATGTTCTGATATTTCTTCTATTTACTGTTTATCCTATAGTAATGCCGTTTGGAATTATTCTAAGCATTTTGCTTTTAAAATTCTTCGATATACAACTCATACTAAAGCGACACTTAAAGTTTGAAATGAACTACTACGACATTAATTTCAAATAGACTTTGATCAGGCTAGGCCAACACGAAAAAATTCAGCTTGGTTTGATTACCTGACAGATGCTTGCAGACCACCAGATCAGATTTGACAGCTCTGATCTTTAACAGAAACCGAACAATTAGTTAGCTTTGAAGATCATTGAGACGAAACTGTATTGTGTAACTATTCCTGGAATCAGAGATATACTTGTGTTATTGTCAATGTTATGAAAATTATTGGAAAGAGATAAAGATATCAGGAATTCAAAAATTCAATGGAATTTTTTTCTATGAAAATTCATAATAGTTCGATAGAGTTTTATAAAAACAACTATCAAAATCAAAAGGAGATGATTGTGCATTTATTCTTGATGGCGAAAATTTGTGTCAATTTTTTATAATAAAACTTAGTTTTTCTGAACATATGGTTTGTTTGAAAAGCTTGAAAACGAGATTTTCAAATTGTTTAAATACAGTATGATAAAAAAACACACTCGAATCTAGAAGAATGCATCGTCTCAAAAAGAAAACCGGTCTGATTATCTTGAAAACTTTTTGAGTCTTTCTGGATTATGTATTTTATTCTTCATTGAGCTTATTACAAGGGCATAAAGAACGTAATCCATTCGTTTTTTCGAAAAAAATACATTATATTATGTATGAATCAATGCCTAAAAATTTAATAAAAATCTTATATCCTATCATACAATGCTTCATATCAAAATTTTACTTCTTGTCGTCCCTGAGGCTTTAAATACTCTATATAACGCAGTGGCGCTAGCTAAATGGCTAAAATTTTGATGTGAAACATTTTATGATGAGCTATAGGATTTTCATTGTACTATTAGCTACTGACTTCGACTAAAATGTGTATTGTCCATAAAAATCGTTGATTGTAGTAAAGTAGTTCTCGAAAAAGAATGTATAACTTTTTTTCTTGCCTCGAAATGATTAGAGTAAAGCAACAAAAAATGTCCAATGTGTAATGGCTTGAAATTTTCGCAGAGTTAACAATTCGTATTGTTATTATATTATTATATTCGAAAACTTAGAAATTCATATTCCATAGATTTCATTGTATATAGTGACTATTCCATTTACTTTTTCAAGCTTCGAAAACAAAACATACGTCCAGAAAAATTTATTTCTTTATAAACTTTATTTTAAAGAAAAAGTTTGAAAAATTTTTAATCTAAATATTCTTATAAACCACTATCGAATCATTTTCAAATATCACTGAAAAAATATTCCATTGCAATATTGAATTATTGAAACCTGATTCAACTCGAAAGACTATATCATCAAATCAACACATGAGCAAACAAGTTTTCAAAACTTGATTTTCTTAATGATGATTTCTATCAATTGCGCAAGAATATTTTCATATGTGAATATATTGGAAAATTTTATATTTATACATTTTACAACAACGAACAATACACTATGCTTAAATATTCGCAAAAAAAAAAACAATTATTTTAAATATCTATTAGTTGTTACATTCGTACAAGCACAACATTTATTCGATCGGGTTTTGTTTGATTAACCATTCATTGATTGATAATTGTTCAAACGATCTACTTATTTTCTAGCATTTAATGCTGCCAATGTTGTTTTCAATATTCTATGATTTTGATCACGTTTCAAAAAACGTAAAATCAATAGTTTACATTCTTGACGAAATGGTTTTGAAGCCAAAAGTTGAATATAAAATATTGAACATGAATTAATAAATATAAAAAAGCCAAGTGCTAAATAACGAATAAAACCTTCAATTGCTAAACGATTTGGTGTTTTTGAAATATCTAATGTTATAGCCAAATAAATTGAATATATTGGATAGGACACTGTTGATATAGAATAGACAACTACTTCACTTATTACAATAGTCATCAATTGAATATCTCGTTTTTGTACTCTTATTGATCTATTTATAGTTTCATTAGTATTTATTGTAGTCACATGAATTCGAGCAAAAGTTAGTCGAAGATTTTTAACAGCCAAAAAGGAATATATAGCCATTATAACAAGTGGAATCAATGTGACAATTGCTGCATAAATACTATAAATAATTAGATATGTACCTGAAGCACCACATCGTCGTTTAGGCATTTGAATATCAACATAAACTAGAACATGAATTGGTACAATTAACCATAGAATACATGCTATAATCATCAATAAAATAGTTATATGACGTTGATTTAGACGGCGAATATAAGCATTGCGTGAACATAAAGCAAATCGATCAATACAAACTAGTGCAACACTCGAACGAGACATCATTAGAAAAGCATGTATTATATATGATTTAGTTTTACAAAATGTCGATGAATATAAGGCTATATCATAGTTTCGATAAGAAGCTAGAAGTTCTGGGATAATACCGCATAGAATAACCAATAAATTAAAAATAGATGTTGCTATAAAATAAACTGAACATGAATTTGAACGAAATTTCTTTTGACAAAAAACAATAAGATTAAACAAAGAACCAATAATACCCAATAACATACATATTGCTAAGACACAACGAGTAAGAATAATTTGTGCCAAATCAAGATTTTCGATGAGTGTCATGAATATATTTATTTATTTTTCTAAGATTCACAGGAAGGAAAATTTCGATTAAAAGAAATCTAATAAAATAGAATAGAATATTGACAAAAGAATCGCTCGAAGTGATTCACTGTATTTATCCTTATATTTTGTTCACAGGTAGAAAATGTATAGAATAGAGAAATCATAAGAAGACATGTGCCTATCTTACGATTTAACCAAGGTTTCGAAATTTTTCCTGTAAAATTCTGATGCTCCAGCAAAATCATATTTTTGAATTTCGATCTAAAATTTTGTCTAAACCAATAACCTCAGGGTAGAGTAGCTCGTTAACAGATTCTCAGAACGTTTTAGCATAACATTATCGATATATGACTTTTTCAAAATATCCATGTTGCACAGAATACTTATAAAACAATGTCTATGTTTTGGAAAATTCATAAATAGGTATGGTTACCCTACAAATTTCCGAAAATTTTCTTTAGACTGCTAGTCTAGTGGAGGTCTTAATTTAGACAAAGTTACAGATCGAAATTCAAAAGTACGATTTTGCTGCAGCATTAGGATCCCGCAAGAGAACTTCAGTAACACTTTCAAATCTCAGCTAAATTCCAACATAGATCCCCAGTCTCTTCGATTTTTCTGCTTGTAGGCAAAATATGAGAGCAAACGCGAAGTGAATTACTTCGAACAGTCCCATCGTGAATGAAGAGAAAAGATTGATCTTGATCTAGGAACATTCTAATTACATGAAATTTTCAAGATATGTTGGAGCTACACTAGAGAGACTATTATAATATTTTCGAAAGGTATTCAACTAATAATGATTCAAAAAAGCTCAGTTGGCAACGCAAAATTCTCTGCAGGCTTTTATTTTATAAGCTTAACTTTGTTTGTTTGAAACCGAAGCAGACAAAAATTTGAAAAAACGCTTTTAAACACTCAAAATGGAACCGCGATTATGAGCCATTGACTCTCATTAAAAGAACGCAAGAAATACGTTTTTTGCACAAAATTTTCACTTTCAGAGCGTGAAAACGGCAAAACACTTCAGTTTTTGAACGTCGAAACGTATTGTTTTTTAAATTCTAGACTAAAAGCACGTTTTAACGTTCAAAAACTGGAGTTTTTCGGCGCTTTCATGCTCTAAAAGCGAAAGTTTTGCGCAAAAAAACCATTTCTTGCACTTTTTTAATGAGCGTTAATGGGTCACAATCGCTGTTCTATTTTGAGCGTTTAAAGGCGTTTTTTTCAAATTTCTATCTGCTTGCGAAGAGCATGAGAAAGACACTTTTCAAAAATTCTTACTATTTAAGTGCCAAACAGAGACGGCAAGTTCAATGTTTCAAAAAATGGGACTCTAACAGTAAAAGTATTCTTTGATATAATAGCCACAAAACTTATTAGAAAAAAAATGAACTGCCATTCCCTTCATCTTGACAGGCTCTCTCAAACGAAGAAACAAGCCGTTGACTACAATGAAATTTCTTCGAGATTCTAAGATGCACAATAAAAAAAAACGTATAAACAAAGAAAAAGCGAAAGAAACATTTTCCACTTTGCGTAAAAAATAGTTTTCAAGCAAAAAAATGATGGAAATTTTTTAAATGAAAGAAATGTTAATAAAAAAATCATGCCATTTATGAAAGATTAGATTTCAGTCTACTTTTCCATACATTTATCTTAATTTTCATGTTTTTTTTCAAAGATTGACTTTTTTAAGAGAGGGTTCCTTAACATGTCAATAATTATAGTTCGAAATTATTAAAATATATGCGAATGAATTCTATTCCAAACTCCAATATATAAAATCTTGAATTTTCCAATTATCGGAATTGAAATGAAAGTATACTAAAGTAATATTGATGATGCTTCAACTTGAAATTCTGACCAGCTAAAATCTATTTGTAAAAAAAAAACTACATTTGCTTTTGAACTAGTTTTCTCGAAGAATTTTAACTCAAGAAAAAAAAATGTTTGCATAAAAAATATCAATACCTGAACAGATGAAAAAAACATATAGGTAAATAAAACTAACTGAAATTAAATAACAATATATCTCATTAAAGAGATATATCAATAGTTTTCTTTGACGTCTAGAATAACTCACTTAACAAAATAGAAACAATTCCTTTCTTTTTCCGAAGTCAAACATCTATTTTCGATGAAAATAACAAAATACAGATCATATGCAAGGATAAAAATTGATTTTGCCTAAAGAAAAACAAATAACGTAGAAAGACTCATTCAGCTACTTGAAAATTTTTACTTCATTTACGAAAAAGAAATAGTAATTACTTTAGTAAAAACTTTATAAACTAGTAGAATAGAAAATATTTTGTAATTAGAAAAGGTTAATTTTGATTTTCTGATGAATCAATCATATAATGTATGTAGATGAAACTTGATTATCTAACGAGAAACTAGATGCATTGGAAGATATAAAACATGTCGATTTTTATCTCTTCGATTGTTCTAATTCATTTACATAATGAATATTTTGAAAATCTTTTAGCAAAATAAGATTGATAGACAAGTACAAAAGAATAGAAGATAAAAATTAGTTCTCAACAAGATCGTGAAATTTGCTTTTGCAACACTTTCCGCTCTAGCGAAAGTTTCCTTGGCTTTTTTTTTAAAACGATATTTTTCGTAATTCTGACGACACAAGCACATTCGATTTTATGAACTTCCTCTTCAAAAAATTCCCAAACTCAATAAAACATTTATTTCAAGTTCAAAGATAAAATTATATATTATTCATGTATTCTAATCTTGCACAGATCTTTTTTTTTTGATCGGTCATTTCTCAATAATACGACCGCAAATGATTTCTATAACTGTATTAAAATGAGAACAATGAAATATTTAAAAAAAACTGTTAGCATAATTTCTACGAAATTTAAATATGAAATAGAAAATGTAACTGCTGTTGCTAATTACTGGAAGATCATTTTATACTTAATTCTCCGAAAATACAATAAGGAAGTAGTTCGTATATTATAACGAGATGTTATTGATGTACGATCTGCAATCGTTAATCAACAATGTCTATTACAGTCTGTGACCTGGAAGCACATCCATATTTTTATCCTCATACTTCAACACGTCTTCTAAGTTGTGTTTCACAAAATATTTCAATAAAGCTATGATTCTATTCTGTTTATCCTATAATAGAAGTTTTAAATCTAATAAATTCATAAATCTTGACTTACCGTAAATTTCTTTTTTGAATAAAAGAATATGCTATCTGGTAGCATCTTTTATTTCATAACTAGAAATATTCTCAATTTTTTTTCTTCCATTTTAAAATAACTATTGTTATTGTGTCCAACGGAAATAGAGCTATTAGAATTCATTAACTTAACAAGTGCTCATGCTTTATATTCGAGTGAGATTTAAATTATTAAAATGTTATTGTCATCGTAATATCATACTTAATTCTTTTCTTCTTTTGTTTTTAAAGGATTACTAATAGAATCTTGCAATTCTAATTTTTTTTTTTCTAAGATCTCAATGTAGATTACACTTTTGAATTACTCTTTGAAGCTTTTGATTCATTACATTCTTCAATTATAGGCGTAATTTTCTTTGTCTTTTATAACATCTAGGCTACTCTCTACAGAAAGAAGTAATCATTGTGAGTATAAGAAAAAAACATATTGGCCTAGAATCAGCAATATAATTATGTAGTAAAATCTATTAAACAATATTCAAAATTACAAATAAAATCTATTCATTCAATTCATGTAAATCTAAAATCAATAAGTTCAAATGGAAAAGAATTCTTTTTTTTACGTATTTTGATTTCAAACAAAAAAATATCATAATAACGTAGATGTCATATTAAAAAGCAGTACGTGTTGTTTTTATAAACAATGAATAATTTTAAAGTCTAGAATTTCTAAACAAAAATTCGACTAATGAGTAAAACAAGATTTTCATACATTTTGTTTCCATTTTTTATTATTATCTAATTTACTAGTATCTATCATGAATATTTTATATTCATTAATGCAAAAGAACTGATCTATATTATAACTTTATTCATCTAAACCATTACTTTTCATCTCTATGACTTGATAACAAAAATTTAAATATTAAATTAGTTAAGAAAGAATTATTTATTTAAATATACAAGAAAGAAAAAAAAACGTAACATTATTTGTCACAAGTAGTCAAGTATTAATACGCAACAAAATACATCATATTTCAATTCTTGTATATTTTTTTGTACATTAAAGATGAGAAGAATTTGATTGAAAAGGAGAAAACATAAGATACCAAAAGAGGGCTTTAGATTCAAGCATTAATGCATTTATCCTTATACCAGAAACAAACTGGTTGCCATTCTAAATAAATCGAATACAATTAGAAAAACAACTTTTTATTGAAAATACTTACTTCGATAATATCTATCCCTAAAAAAAAAAACAAATAATAGTTTTTATTTTCATCTAAACAATAATTCACAGAGAAAAACTCACCATCCCCAAAGACGACCACGATACCAATGAACAAACCAACGACTAGGCAAACGATAAGGCCAACCACCATACCAAGCAGCAGGCCAAGTATTTTGATAAGCTACAGCTATATAATATAATATAAGAAATTTTAATAAAATTAAAATGAATCTCATTTGTCTATACCTTGATTGGCAATTACTAAAGTGAACAAAGCCAAAAATATAATAAGTGAGGCTGAACGTATCATCATAATAAAGAAATTATTATTATAGTTTGTTATGATATAGTAAATATGTGCTTGTATAGAAGAATGTTTAGAACTATAGTTTTTTCTTCAGAATATAACAGAAATACACTCTTTTATATATAGCCGAAGAAAGAAATAGAGAAATACGTCTAACTGGTACGATGATATGTTAACAAAAGAGCGAATACAATAGCACAAGAACAAATGAAGACATGTTCCTTTGATTTTATGAATAATCACACATTCTCGAAAGAAAATTCTAGAATACATTTCGATACAATGTATGTTCTAGTTGTTGTACGACGTCCAACTATTTCGTTCTATTTCAAAGAATAAAATAAATATACGTCGGCTTGTAACCGATTTCATTGAATTATTTGTCTACAAAAGAGAAAGATCCGATAGAATACATTTATTGTTTTGTTTATTACTTGAAAATGATGATTAAATAACAATATTTGCCATAGGTTTAAGTCATATATTATTAAAATTATTTGTCTTATCTAATTTTATTGTGTTTGGAACAAATAATCATAGCAAGTAGTAATGAAAAATCGTATGATGCAATCAGTTCTTTGATTTGAATATCAACTGAAACAAAATAGTCTAATTCGTTTGCAGTCTAACAGACATAGATGACATGGTCATTTTCTTTGTATTTCAATGTTGAACTAACTATCAGACAAGGTCACAGGACGGTTTTCCTCACCGTGCACTACATTCTACAGAGCCATTATCACTCATTCATCCTGTTATAAATATACTAATTTTTCTTGAATTTTTCATATGAAAGAATAAATAATATTTTCTCAATTTAAACTTAATGATAAATGTGTGTTTTTAAGTAAATATTAATCTAATTGAGTTAAATAATCTTTACAATAAAACAATAGTTGTTAGTATGGCATAATACTCTTCTAGATACTATTTATAATAATAGAAAATCACAACGGATTTTACTACTGATAGATCAGAATTTCATTGAGTTATGATCTATTAGATGGCTTAGGTGTCCTGAGGGGTAGGTCCAGCCTCTTGTGACATTCTTTGATAGGTATATCTATTGATTTAGATATACTAAAGATTGAATATTATTTCAATTAAACAAAAATAAATTATAAATTTATTTGAATATTTTCTATAAAGATATGCGAATAGATCTTCAACGGTTTATATGCATATTATTGCATGAGCTTTTTATAATTTCATATATATTTTTTTTCT